GAAGAACATAAGAAAAGTCGACCTTTCAACTCTCGTTGAAATTTAAAACTTAACTAAATAACTTTAATAATCTATTTAATTATCTACTGTAAATAACTATCATTTACATATGTAAATGTAAGTGACTTTTAAATTTTTTTGTGTCCCCCATTAGCTTATAGCTAAAAACATAGACACTTAAACAAAGTTTTTCATTTCATTTCTATGTTTACATGTAGCTTATGTTACTGGAGTAACCAGTGCTCAATATATTAAAGTTGTTTTGCTACTTTGGAACATGCTAGTGTGATTAAGGTTTTTCCACACATTCACTTGTAACCCATTTTAGAGGTTATTTCAAAGTGTTAGATTGTAGTCATCTTGGCTACGAAGTCTCACATGATCCTTAAATGTGGTGACGTAGAAGAATTTGAAAATTAAACGAAACTTACCTGGAAGTTGAAGGTTGATCGAGATTCTTCTAATCATTATGACGTTTAGGGATCAGGTGCCCACCCTTGCGCGGTTGCGCTACCCTACCCTATGAAGTCTGTAGTATGCATAAACCTTTCAAGGTCATACAGTATTTTAAAATTGTCACATGATTGTGGTCTGCTATTAATCAAGAAGACTACAATCTACTTTTAAGACTGATCTTGCGCATGCGCGTTGCAATCTCACCTGATCCCTGAATGTTATGGTGACTAGAAGAATCTCAATCAAACTTCAACTTCCAGGTAAGTTTCGTTTAATTTTCAAATTTTAAGCAAGCAAAAAAAGCATCATTAACGAAAACATGCCTAAAGTAGAGACATATGTGGCTGTCATTGCAAGGGCTATTCTAAGTTCTGACGAACCGGTTTCATATTTAGTGAGGGATCGAATCGACGGTCTCAAGTTTAGTACACTAAAAGGGGGTATGTTCCCTAATCAAATTTGTGACTTCATTGAAGCAAACTTCCCAATACTCGTGAGAGAGAAAGAGAGAAGAGATGTTGATTGGAGACATAACGTGAGCTGTACTCTTTCGCGTATGAAGTGTTTTGATAATGGAGAATATGGAAGGACTGTGATTCGTCCAGAACACCTATGAAGTTTACTAAAGATAACGAGTAAGTCTGAGCGTTTAAGACAATTATCGTAGAAATATAAAATATACTAAAATGTATAATTTCCCTCTCATGTAGAGTCTTCGAAAAGAAGAGAAAGCAGCGAGCAAAGAGAACTCGTCCTTATAAGCTAAAAGAGAAAACCCCAGCACCTTCCTTTACTACCAGAAATGGCTGTAGACCATATGCTTGCAAAGACAGGTCCATTGGACACACTGGTAGAATCGAACACAGAGGTGTCGCAGGTAACACCCGGAAAGTTTGATGTGATAGAAGTTTCTAATAACGGAGAAATAGATGGACCAGCAGATGATGCACATTTCTAAACTTAGCATGGTCATAAATAAAATTTGACAAAAAATTATTTACAACATGATTTTTATTTTGTCTTTGTCTTGCGTAAACATACACGCATGCTATGCCCCTACTACAGTGGTTACAGAGTGTTCATTTCCTCCTCTTTTTCATCATCATCATCATCATCATCATCGCTTTCATCCAATACCGGTTTGTTGATCAGAGGACTCAAGAGGAGTTTTCTCCTGTCCTCGGCAGCCTCTAATGCCTCCTCCCAATCCATACCGTCTTCATTCATCAATCGTCGAGTGGTATGCCTGACTTGCCTATGTATTTTATCCTGTTTAATACGGTTATACCACTTTAGACGATGCAAATATAACCTTCTCAACTTACGCCTATCTTGAGGTAAGAGCGAATTCTCATTCTTGGATGTCCCCTCTTTTTCCTGTTCTTCTTCATGTTCAGCCAAAGCTGTTTTCATATCATCATTCATTTCCTGTTTCAATTCTGACCACGGATTCACACCGACATTGTCATCATCATCATCATCGTAACCATCATCCTTGTCTTCACCTTCACCTTCATAATCATTGTCTTCATCATCTGTGTTCTCAGGCTCTTCATCTTCTTCTAGTGGTTCGCCAAAGACTGATCTAGATCCTGAGAATTATCAGTCATGGTCACACACGCACTATAAGCTTTCTCGATTTGTACTTGCTGGTGGTTGTTCCTAAATGATTTCTGACCAATGTGTAGGGCTGTTTTAAAGTTTCACTTTTGTAGGATACAATTGGATACATCCTTCATGTGTCTCCCTTGGAACCCCTTATGAAAATTTTATGATTATATCCTATGGAATTGGCAAATGTTATTTGTAAAGCCACATTTAAAACGTCACAACCAGATTCATAGTCTATAATCTTACCATCTGAGTCATCAATTCGGAGTTGATGTTCATCTACATGTAGAAGACAAAACAAAATACTAAACGTTTAGCTCAGTGCATGCTACACACTGTGTGTGAAAGTCTGTCTAATGATTATTCATTCTTTGTTCCATCACTGACATCCTTTTTTTCTGTTCTATCTCAAAAAGAATATAGAATATAAATTTGTGGGTAAAGTTGTAAAACTCACCAGTCCTGATTGAGTTTCTGGCCAACTGGGTAATGTACCTTTTAGTTTCTCCTTAAAAAAAGTAGAAATTTGTTTAAGCTAATATTGCACAAAATTGTTGCAATAATTATCTTACCACTTCAGGCAAAATAAAATAACTTAAGAATGCTAAATTTATGTTGATTGAAAATCATATTGTCAGACAAAAATCCCTTTCTAAATACACAGAGCATTTAAAAATTATTACCAGTCAGTTCTAAAATTGTTAAATTTTTTGGGAGAAAATACGTAAAGCAAAACTTACACCACTCACACATTAGCATTAATTTTGTCTTTTGGATTTTTCCATTGGAAGTGACCACTGACAATTTCTTGGTTCAAATTTTTTTGGGGGTTTTCAGTATTTGTTGTGAAATCATTGCTATCTTTAACTCACGTCCATCTGTTGGTAGAGATAAGCTGGATACAGCTGGAGTCACTGTTGGCTGTCTGAAACTTGCATTGGTTACAAGAGTTATGAGGATGCAGCATTGACTATGGATAAATTGAAATGATAACTTCAGATGTAAGTAGTCTATGATAGGATTCATTAGTCGCTTGATTCAGGTGTTGATATCAAGGAAAGATGGATTTCTTGACATAAAGCTTGAAACTCTATGGGCCCCACCTCCCCTAAGTCTTGATGAATTGTGAGGAAATCATGGACACTTTGTTGTCACTGATGACATCTGATCTTTTAGACAGTAATATTTGATTGGCTGATGTTTCTCTGCTGGGTTAAAATGTATTTCTATCTTGTGGTCATGAGCAGTTTTTTCTCCTTTTTTTTCTAAACCAACCCATCAAGGGTCCTTATTGGAACTTCTTTTGGGAGGTGGGGGAAATGACAAAAGTTACAACTTTCAAGAAAAATAAATAGATAACATGATTTTTCCTGGATGAAATACTCAAGTTTGAGACTAGTATTTAAGATGCTCAAACTGGTGGCCTGAGAAATTGCTAGCTTTCTTTATTTGTTGAAAAAAAATTTTTTTTCACACTACTTCAAGTATTTATCTTTGGTTAATGTGTTGATAATTCATTTGTTATTATATTTAACTCACATCCAGTTGAAGGTAGTGATACACTGGACATAGCTGGGGTAATTATAGGCCTTCTACAGCTTCAATTGTTTTTCTGTTGTGCTGTACATAAATAAAAAAAATTTCAGAAGTAGAGCATAAACTATTAAGAATCCTAACTGGTAGGATCAGGCTGACCATTTGGCTTAGTATTTACACTATGGGGTTAAGGGGTTGAACACACAAACTACAGAGAACAAATCCAGATAGCTAGAGGAATGGAACCAAGGACCACTAAATTTCAAATCTAGAACACTTAACCACTCAGCCATGTGGCTTCCACACCTGTGAGAGAGTTCCATCAATAGTTAATTTTTTCTAAGCCTTTTTTACATTGAAATGGTGAGTTATTGAAAAATTTTGTTCAATTTTATTTTACCAGTAAACTTCACCCCAATATGCAAACACTTTTAGCTGGGGATGGAATCATAAATCAATTGCTCAAGAATTAATTTTCCTGGTCACATTGTTCCCAAAATCTATTCTGGTGTAAGAAAATTTAACTGACTTAAGTGTGGCCTTTTGAACAATTTAAATTGTGTCCTTTCCTTTAATTGTACTCTGTTAGTTTGTGTTTGCAAATTTACTAATTGAACAACAAAGTCATTTCTCATTTTATCAATTCATCTAAGCAACTTTTCAACATTTCACACTGGACTAATATGTCAAATGCTCAAACTGCAATAGCTCGTAACAATACTCAAAAAGTCTGTTTACCCTCTGTTGATGAGGTTAGTTGCTTTTATTTTACTGCAACTGCCCTAACATTATTTAATGTTTAACTCACATCCATTTGTACTTGTAGGAAGAGGTAAGCTTGGCACAGCTGGGGTCATTATTGACCTTCCAGACCTTGCATTAGTCACAAAAGTGGCAGTTGAAGAGGCTGCAATGTTGGCTGTGGATGTTAAGATCAAAGGTAAGCGGTCAATAATAGCAGTCAATGGCTGTATGATTCAGGTGTTGAAATCAAGGAATAGTGATTAAAGTTTTCTTCCTGTAAAGCTGGGAACTCTACAGGCCCCACCTCTCTTATCTGCTTATGAAAGTAGAAGGTAAATAGAGACCCGCTTTAACCCTCCATCAATTATCAATGGGATTGTCTTGGGCTGTGGATGAAAGAAAATAAAATTTTGGGGGTGGTGGGGTTGCTATGGTGGCATCTTTTATCTTTATAATAATTATTTCCTGAAAGGTTGGGATATAAATTGATCTTTCTTTAAAGGGGCTAAGAACGTTATATTGTGTTATTTCTGAGGGGGTGGGGCATCAGTTGGCCTTTGATATGTTTTCTTTGGGTATAAATTGTGACTTTTCTGATTAATTAGGGGTGCATGTCTATTAAATGGAATGGTCCTCAGCAATTGATGTCCATAGTTGTTTGCGTGGTTATGGAATGTTACGGTAAGTCAACTTACATCCACTGGAAGAGGCTGAACTAGTATTTGCTTGGCTGTTTGAATGAAATGCATTGGCTGTTGGTGAATAAAAACAATAACATCAGAGGTAGTTGTAATAATTGTGTTTTCTATGTCAGATGTCAATAGCTATTCCTGACCAGTATTGTATTAATTAGCTTTATTGGGTTGTTATTTGTATGTTTATGGAATGTTAAGTTAACTTACATCCACTAGAAGAGGCTGAACTAGTATTTGCTTGGCTGTGGGAATAAACAGCATTGGCTGTGGATGAAATAAAGTAATAACATCAGAGGTAACTATAATAATTGTGGTCTTTAAGTCAGATGCCAATAGTTATTCAGGTATATTGTATTAAAATAATAGCTTCACTGGGTTGTTGTTTGCATGTTAATGGGGTGTTAAATGAACTCACATCCACTAGAAGAGGCTGAACTAGTATTTGTTTGGTAGTTGGAATGAACAGCATTGGCTGTGAATGAATTGAAATAACAACATCAGAAAGAGTTATTGAATAATAATTGTGTTTTTTATGTCAGATGGAAAGTTAAGTTAACTTACATCCACTAGAAGAGGCTGAACTGGTTCTTGCTTGGCTGTTGGAATTAACAGCATTGGCTGTGGATGAATCGAACTAACAATATCAGAGGTAGCTGTAATAATTGTGTTTTTTTACGTCAGATGTCAATAGTTATTCCAGTATTGTATTAATTAGCTTCATTGGGTTGTTGTTTGCATGTTTATGGAATGTTAAGTCAACTCACATCCATTAGAAGAGGCTGAATCAGTATTTGCTTGGATGTTGGCATTAAAAGCATTGGCTGTGGATGAATTGAAATAACATCATCAGAAATAGCTACTAAATAATAATTGTGTTTTTTTTACGTCAGATGTCAGTAGTTATTCCAGTATTGTATTGCATTGCTTCATTGGTTTGAAACTCAGATATTCTTTGGCCCCATGCTTATTAATTGATGAATATGGCATGCCTTCAATACAGGAATCAAAATTTGCTTTCCTTGTGTGAAGATGGAAACTCTGCACCATTACCCCGCAGGCTGCTGCAAGGCCACAGTTCAGCTTGCATTTTTTGCAAGCCAAAAGGAAAAAGGCTTATTAAAAGAAGCATATCTCCAGGATAAGGAATTGAAGGAGTAGCTATGCTATTTAAGAGGGAAACTTATGAAAATACATAATTTCTATCACAATTTTATGAGCAATGTACTCAACAAAATTGCTTGAAGTCATGAGCCACTTTCTATAGAAATGAAATGTAAACTTTTTCGCAGATCAAATAATATCAATGGCTCGAAAGAACCTTCTTGGGTTATGAACTACAAAAAGAAGTGCCTGGAGCGTGTGAAGAAGTGTAGGGAGAAACACTCACTCGTGGCTGATTTTTCTTTTGCTTTTTGACTTTTTGACTTTTCTGCTGTTGTCACTTACTTGTGTGTTTTATATCAAAACCATGCATGGTCCAGCCTTTTGTATTAGTATTCAAAGTATGACATAATCATTTCATGTAGCTCATAGATCATAGTTATTATAATAATTATGTAAATAGCAGTTAAAGAACTACCGGGAGGAAGGTACAAAAATACTCTCTTCTTTCGATTTCCGCCAAAGTGCTCTAAGATCTGGGCACCACAGTCTGTCTTACCTCGTTCATTCTATTGTCTCCCTCCAATCTCTCGTGATTGGTATTAAGGAAAAATCTATCTGCAGAACTTTGTACAGGGTAATTGCAGTGTTGCTTATAAAAATACGGCCATTTATGTTCCACTCCAACACGAATCATATCCAGTGGGAAGGTCTGTTATGCCCGTATACATTTCGAATTACGTCTTCTTCTTTTTCCCTATTAATAGGCGCTGCAGCAGCTGTAAAAAGAAAAGAAGCTTGCGTACCAATAGTTTTTTTGAAGAGTTTCCCCGCGTACCACTGGGAACGCTGCTCCTTGCAATCCACCATTTTGTCTATGAAGATTCCCAGCGACAAACAGCGCGGAGATTAAACCTCAACCCAGGCCTGGCGTCAAAAATATACCGACGGCTGCAAGATGTGTGTTCCAGAGATCTGGACGAGAGGCCTTTCATACCATTTGGAGGACCAGGAGCCGCCGTTAAGTGTGACGAGAGCAAGTCTGCTGTTGTCACTTACTTGTGTGTTTTATATCAAAACCATGCATGGTCCAGCCTTTTGTATTAGTATTCAAAGTATGACATAATCATTTCATGTAGCTCATAGATCATAGTTATTATAATAATTATGTAAATAGCAGTTAAAGAACTACCGGGAGGAAGGTACAAAAATACTCTCTTCTTTCGATTTCCGCCAAAGTGCTCTAAGATCTGGGCACCACTGAGAAGGCCGTCGGCTACCTTCATCATGGCATGGCCACGAGCATAAGATTTAATAACTCCAAGATTGTGTAAGGAAAAGAAAAGGGATAGAAACTGTAAATTCAGTCTGAGCGGTCAGTATAACTTGAGTGGCATAACAGTGGAATGATGACACAATGAGATATTTAAATGGGTCAAAGTAATTCTTTTTACATTTCGGAGGTACTAGTACAGTGTTAAAATACAACATCAGCAAAGATTAGGTATGACGGGCAATGTGAGCAAAGGGTCCCACCCATCTCACCATTCGAGCCTCGCAAGAAGTCGACTGTGCAACGAGTTAGCTGCGATCTATTCTTGTAAAACTTCTGTTCCATTAAAGGTGTCAAACAATTGATTTGGAAATCTTAAATCTGTGTTGTTTCTTCAAGCGGTTTCAGGCCTTTTCCTCACTAATTTGCTGCCCATCCTATGCCTTGGTTATACTGCAAGCAGCAATTGTAATAATTTAAGCCGAGAAAGCTGTTGTGCTCCTGCTAAACGAGAGGTATTCCCATTGCGCGTTTTTGTCGTTCACAAGAAAGCTGCTTACTCTTAACCAAACCCACGGTATTTTACTTAATGCGAGTGCTATTTACAAACCATTTTTAATAGAGTACTGAGAAGAACTATGCGTAGCTTGATAAGTCTTTCCCCGCGAGGTTAGGTTAAGCGTGGCCAGCATCCGCCAAACATCGCGGTTTATATAATCTTAATAAGCGCGCGTTTCACAAGGTGCCTGTTCGCGGCTGGCGTGCGTGACTGTATTTTCCTCCCAGAAGGAAAGGGAAATAGTAGACGCCTGCATACAGGCTAGTTCGCAGCCAACACACGAGTTGTATTTTAAAGCGTCAAAAACAATGTTTCTCGTTTCCCACGAAGGTGACAAGCCGATCAACCAACTGAAAAAGAGTTTCGTCTATTTTTGAATTTTTTTTTTAACTATTCGATGTCGTAACTTGTCGGAAAGAAAGTGCGATCTTTGTCTTTTTTGCGTTTTTCTTTCTCCTTTTTTTTTTCTTGTTTTTTTTTTAATTACGGCTGCATTTAGAGTCTCGCGGAAGGAATTTGGTTGTTTCCTTTGCTTTGTAACTTTAACGAGTAAGTCAAAAGATGATACAAAACAAGGTGTGAGAACTTTTTACTTTCCTTTGGAGCTATTGTTTTCCTGTTCCTCACTGTGTTGAGATCTTTGTTTTGGATTTGCATTCTTTGTTATTTGTGACTTGTGAAATTCGCTGGTCTTGCGCCGAAGACGAGCCCCAAAAGAGCTGCTCTAACAGTGTGTTAGTTGAACTTTGCGTTGACTGTGAATCACGCTCTCGTAATTGAGAAGTCATGAATCTAAATGAATTTATAGATCTGCAACGGGGTCCCCGTATTAACTTGATTCAATGGCTTCAACGGCGGTCTCTGTTGGCCGATACGCTTCAGTGTGCCCAATGTAACGAGGACATGGTCTTGATACAGAGGAACGGAAATGGGCACCTTTGGTAAGCCAATAAAGGTTCTGCAGTCTGTCTTACCTCGTTCATTCTATTGTCCCCCTCCAATCTCTCATGATTGGTATTATGGCAAAATCTATCTGCAGAACTTTGTACAGGGTAAGTGCAGTGTTACTTATAAAAATACGGCCATTTATGTTCCACTCCAACACGAATAATATCGAGTGGGAAGGTCTGTTATGCCCGTATACATTTCGAATTACGTCTTCTTTTTTTTCCCTATTAATAGCGGCTGCAGCAGCTGTAAAAAGAAAAGAAGCTTGCGTACCAACAGGTTTTTTGAAGAGTTTCCCTGCGTACCACTGGGAAAACTGCTCCTTGCAATCCACCATTTTGTCTATGAAGATTCCCAGCGACAAACAGCGCGGAGATTAAACCTCAACCCAGGCCTGGCGTCAAAAATATACCGACGGCTACAAGATGTGTGTTCCAGAGATCTGGACGAGAGGCCTTTCATACCATTTGGAGGACCAGGAGCCGCCGTTAAGTGTGACGAGAGCAAGTTCAATCACAAAGCTAAGGTAAGAACAAAAAATGAAAGTCAAGAACTCCAAGAAACACTAAGAAGAATGCCAAGTGTACCTTTACTAGTTTATCGAAGATTCTAGAGGAATCTAAGTTGGCTCATAACAAACTCTACAAGTTATAACCTAAATACAGTTTGGCTGATCGAACCAGTGTTAATTAGATTTTTTTCCCTGAAATTCCGTCACTAAGGCGACCATGTAACATTCACTTGGTCCCCTAAATGGTTACTGGTGCTATATTGAAAGAACAGTGAGGTAAAATCTCCTGATTCTGTACGCAAGAATATTCAAAATATTTCGGGTAGAAAAATTCTGTTGGTCAGATGACAAGCAGAAAAAATCTCCTTCGCCACTATTGCTTTCTGCAGCCTTCTTATTTTTCCTTACCTACGTTAGTGTAAAAAATGAGCCAACTGACTTTGATTTTAACCTAAAAATTACAATATCAAACAAGCGAAAGCGAAAGTATTTTGATACAACAAAACTCATAACGTTCAGCATGATTAGATTATCATCTGCGTAAGTGCGCGTCAACTGCACGAGCGAGATTTCATATGTAGCGCGCGCACATTATAATGCAGAGATGATCCCAAGTTGTTTAGCCGGAAGATGATTGGTGACCAAACATGATCACACATCGATTGGTTACCAAACATTTTGACGTTATGCTTAGTGACCTAACATGCATTCCTTCCAATGGGAGTAGAAGTGTTCTAAGTTGTTTAACTGGGGTAACCGCCGGGCTGATGGACTAATATAATCAAATGCAAAGTAAACCTAACACCAGTTTCATTTATCAAAACGGTAAAGGAGAATGCTCAGCTATTTAACAATTATTCGCCGAAGGCGAGGTGAATATCGTCGAATAATCCCCGAGACGAAGTCGAGGGGATTATTCGACAATATTGACCGAACCTGAGGCGAATAATTGTTTTAGTATAATTTCAGAGCTGAACAACAGAGAAATTTCTAAAATCATAACATTTTAGTAACATTTATTAACATTTTATTTTAGCATTTTATATAAACCGCGTGGAGCGGTTTATATTGCGTCATATAAGGAACCGCTCGACCAATCAGATTGCTGGAAACTCTTTGCTCAGCTCTGAAATTATACTAAAAGGCATTGTTATGTGTTCTTAAGACTTTCTGTGCAGTAGCAAATCCGTTCGCCTCTTTTTCAGTTTAACCGAGGAAGGAGAGCAGCCAGAGATGCTTGGGTATTTGGCATAGTCACTACCGACTTTAGTCCAGCTCGTGGTTACTTCCAAGTTGTAGAGAGGCGGGATATCGCGACACTGGATCCCATAATCTCGAAGTGTATCCGACCAGAAACAGAAGTCTACACCGATGACTGGGCCTCATACAGAGGTATGGAACACCGTATAAAATTG